TACCTATGCTTATCTGTAGAGGAAGTTTGACAGTGTCAACTGATTTGAATTTCTAAAATTCAAGTAGACCTGTATAGATTATCTATACAAGAAGAATAATTCACCTTCACAATTAGATAGCAGTACTAAGCGGTGACTGAATAAAACTTACACTTTTCTTATTATTACAAAACCAAACACTATTTATTTCTTATTACACTACAATCTAATGATGCCTGAAAACTAGGGTTAGACAAAACTCCCGAACCGAACTGATCGAACCAAACCTGAACCGAACCCGATGGTTCTTTTCAAGTTAAATACCTGAACGGGTATTTGAATCAAGAACTGAAGGGTATGGTTCAGTTCTCGGTTCTAGGCCAAGACCCGAAGAACCGAATAAAAATCGAATCTCCGTACTTTTTTTAATTAATTTATTTTAAATAAGTAATATTATTTTATTTTTACTAAATAAATTTGTTAACTAGTTAATTTAATTCAAACCACAAAATATGATTTTCCTATTTCTAATTTTCAGTTCAAAATAAACTTAATCAAATTGACCTCAATTTTATCCAAATCTGTTATTCTACTGTAGTGTCATTTCTACCAGAGAAAATCGAATTAAAGCTCTACAATATCTCTCTTAATTATTTTGAGCTCGCTATCTTTTTCTTTCTGTGATTTTAATAATCAAATTTATGAAGAATTCAGCGAAGAGAGACGTGAAACACATAAGATTAAACTACGTAATTTTGTAAGAGCTAATATTGAACATATCATTAATTAAATTAACATAACTTTGTATATATTTAAAAATTTAATTATAATACGGAACCGAATGTAACCGAACCGAACCGACCCGAATGGAACCGAACTCGAACGGTTCCACTTACTAAATATCCGAATATTTCAGATCAGTTCGATTCTCATTAGAACGGAACTGAACCGGACCATGTCTAGCCCTACTGAAAACCAGCTATGGTTAGAAATAACATTTAGTTGCAAACTTTTCTATGGACTGAAACACCTGGGCTTTCACTCATGTCCAAATCCTCTCCTTTTGCTCCATTAGGCAATTCCCAATTATATTTTAGAATAATATTTGCCAACACAAGTTCGTTAGTTGCCATTGTGTAAGAGATCCTTAGACAACCTCTCCGACCAGCCCCAAAAGGGATCAACTGGAAATCGAGTCCTTCGATATCTTTCTGTGAATTCAAGAATCTCTCTGGCCGACGCTTTTTTGGTTCGTCCCAGTAATTAGGGGCTAGGGAAATGACCCATGCATTGGTCATGACCATCGTCCCTACTGCAATGTCATAGCCCATTACATTGACATCTTTTCTTGTTTCCCGAGCAATCACTAATGGGATTGTGGTGTGGAATCGTAGAGTTTCCTTCACTACACTTTCAAATAATGCATTTTTCTAAGTCAGCATTTGTTATGTACTGAGAACTCCCCTCACCTTGGTTTGCAACTTTTTCATGACTCTTGGGTGCCTGAAGAGCTCTGTCATTTCCCATTCTAGAACTACGGATAAAGGGATTTGTTCCAGGGCAAAGACATCCTAAAATAATCAAGAACGTTGAAAAATGTAATCTCTTAATATTTAACATAAAGTTCATAGCTTTCAAGCATTTGCACCAATTTTTTTTGCAGCTAATTATAAACAAATCGTTCTTTAGTACTATAATATTCTTTACCCGAAACAACACTTCAGCGATTAAATTAACTAAAAACCCACAAAAGAAGTAACCCAATACAATTTAAACTCACAATAACTTCCAATTTCATAAGACCCATCAAATATTACACACGCCCGAATGATAAAATTTTATGTATATGAATATAAAAGGAGGCATAATTACCTGCTGGGCCTTCAAAATGGGAATGGAGATTTTCCTATTGGGAATTTGACGGGTCATTAGGGTCTGTGTAGATTTTTTGAGAAATTGTTGAGAAGATAATCTGGGTTTTGCAGTTGAAGACGATGATAATACATTCAAACTTTCCAAGTACGTAAAATCTATCCCGGAACTGAAACTGAAATTCACTACATGTGAGTCTGTGTGTGTGTGTGCGCGTGGAGACTGTGACGAATTTTAAAAATCATTTCCTCGATCAAGATTTTAATGGAAAATTTAGGTGTTCATTGAGATTTTAATTAAATTTAATGTATAGTCAATCATTAGTGAATTTATAAAGATTTTATTAATAGAGGGATTTTAAAAGATTTTGATGGATTTCAAACTTAAAAATATATAATCAAATCTTTTGAAATTTCATCATATTTATTGAGATTCTTATGAAATTTGTGGAAATCTATTTAAATTAACAAAATTCATTAGAATTATAAGTTTTTAAAATTCATCATCATCTTAGTTGAGGACACCCCGTTATAGTTAGAGGGACGAAATGAAGACTATTTTTCTTATGGCAGCAATAGGGTGGTGTCAATGCATTACAGTCCCATTGGTCCAAAAATTATGGCAAGGAATCAAAGTTTTGGTAAAAAACCAGTCGAGAAAAGGTTAGGACAAGATCACAAGTTTAGGCAAAGGATAGAGACCTAATTTGCAATTTATGCTAAACAAAACTTTTCTTGAATTATTGGGTCATGATTTAGCTGCAGAGTGCTTCTTTTCTTTTTCTCCCTCTCTCTTCACTATTTCACCGAGGGTTCAAACCCTTGGTTAAAGTCTTACCTCTACTAATTTATAAGAAAATTGTTGCATCCAGTGAATATGTTGAACACCAAATGAAGCCCATGTTTGGTTTGGGTAAAAATTGATTGTTTTAGTAGAATTTTATAAAGATTGATGAAATGCGTGATTGAAAATCTGATTAAAGTGATGAGCATCACAAAATCTGTGAATAAAAATGAATTTGACTAAAAAGCAACTATCTCTTGTATAGATCATGTATTGATATACTATAACTATAAGATACTCCATTTTCGTGAATTACTTCGTTTATCCGAGTGATCCACAAATGATGAAAATTTCTCTTTTTTTTATCCATATCTCGGTGAGCCGAAACCAAAGCTCTTGTTTTTTGTTGAGTGATAGTTGGAGTAAGTTTCAAATGAGCCCTCGAAATTAAGCTTGATGCAAATAAACGAATTTTTGTTCTCTGTATCTAAGCTATATATCAGCGTATAATTCTGGTCATTAATAAATGTTAAAAATTTGGACCCAAACAAGTGCTAAAACACATGATTCAGTAAGTTAAACAAGAAATAATCGGAGTCTCACATCGCTCATTGAGTGCCGCCGACAGCCAGGAATCACTATTTGGCTTAACTCTCACTATTGTCAGGGTTGCTTTGGAATGGCATTCGACAACTAGTTAATTTTATAACTATATGCATGTTTATTTGCATAATATAAAAGTCTATTCTGATGAATTATATATTTTATAAATTTTCAATGTAATATTAAGTAATAATGGAGTAAAAGTGATTACATTGTCCTAATTAAAGAACAAAACACAATATTATTTTTTACTTGTAAACTATAATACATCGCAATACGATACAAATATTCAATCCCAACATAAAAACGATGGTTCCCCAATTTATTTACTTGTGCGAGTGCGTGCGGGGGTGTGTAAAAAGCATAAAGAATTATGAATGTTTAATTTGTGGTAGAAACTGCTGTTTCCATCACGCTGCATGAAACTCATATGGATTAGAGATAGCATTGAGTCACAACAGCAAAAAGAGGAACTTTTCTATGGATTGAAAATCCTCTCCTTTTGCTCCATTAGGCAATTCCCAGTCAAATTTCTGAACAATATTTGCCAGAACGAGTTCGTTAGTTGCCATTGCGAATGAGATTCCTGGACAACCTCTTCGATCAGCCCCAAACGGGATCAACTGGAAATCGAGTCCTTTGAAATCTATGGACAAATTTAAGAATCTCTCCGGCTGAAACTTCTGTGGTTCTTTCCGGTAAAGAGGGTCTTGGCCAATGGCCCATGCATTGGTCATTGTTGGAATTAATTGAATTTGATTTGAGTTTGATTTGGGTTTAAAATATTAAATGTAATATTTAATGATGTGGGCCATTGCAATTAATTTGGGTGAATTGGAAAAGTCTCCAATATAGGCCCATATGTTGATAAGCCCATTTTAAGTGTTTTTTATATGGAAACGAGTCTCACATCGAAAGTTTACAAAAAAATAGTCTTGTTTATATAGTGGGTTGTGTGAATAATATATAATTTAATAAGTTACCTACAACTTGGCTAACTTTAGCTAGCCAAAGGCTAGTCACCAAAAGCACCACTCGCACCGCTCCCCGGACCCGGACCCGGTCCCGATCTCGGCACGCGCACATCGCAAAGTACGCATTGGGCGCTTTAGAGGTGCACTTGGCACTTCGCATGTATGCATCGTTGCGAGGAGCTGGTGAGCCTTATAGTTTTCAAAAATAGACTCGTGGTTCGATGACGTGGCAGCGCAAGGCTCGGTGATTTGGCATTCTAGGTGGCGCACGTGTGGTAGGTCGCGTCCCTTCGTCCTGCGTGGCGTTAGATGTACGCATGGAATCCGCATGGCTGTGACTGTTCAGAAATTGGTGAATAGGCATGATGAATGGACACTTCACTTCATGGTTTAATCTGAGTCGTCAGATCATGAAAATAGTGCGATCCAATGGCTAAGACGAATCAGACCAAGTGGTGCACCAGTTCCTGAAATGTCATACACTTGTTCCATAAAACACTTCAATCTCTATAAATAGAGACCCCCAGATTCGTTTTTTGATACACCAAATCAATTACGAATTCAATTGATTTCTAAATTTTTCTCTCTCCATATTCTGCTCTAAAAATTCTCTTATATTTCTGTGGTTATTCCGTTCAAGTACTATCTTTCATTGGTTCGACCGACAAGGTTGGTATTGTGCAGTATCGATTTTGGAAGGAGCGTTGTATCTTGGGAGACAGACGTCCATAATCCCGTTTGCACTTCATTGGGGGGCGAAATCTGTCTTAAGGAGATTTGCTTATTTTATTGGCATACCTCGCTTCATTTACTGTTTTCTATTTTTTTGTTTATTTTATTTGTTCTTTTGATTGCGTTAGTCGAATTTCCGACAATAGTCATGACCATTGTACCTGCTGCGATGTCATAGTCCATTACCTTGACATCTTCTCGTGCTTGCCGAGGAACCAGTAGTGGGATTGGGGTGTGGAATTGTAGAATTTCCTTCACTACAGCTTTCAAATAATGCATTTTCTCCAAGTCAGCATCTGTTATGTCATGTTTGCCATTGAGAACTCCCCTCACCTCATTTTGCAACTTTTTCATGACTATTGGGTGCCTTAAGAGTTCTGTCATTGCCCACTCCAGAACTGTGGATGTGGTATCAGTTCCAGCAGCAAACACATCCTGAAATAATCAAAAAACTTAAGAAATTTAAGGCTAAGAAAATTAATAGTCACTTAAACTTTCGGATGAAATGGTTCAATAAAAGTAGACAAAAGTCTTGACTTCAAAGTCCATTACCACCTAGTATGTTATGCTCGTGTCAAACCTCCGAGGGTCTTAAGCACGAGGAACTTGCATGTATATGTTTCTTTCAATAATAGTTTTAACTTTTAAATGAAGTTGTTCAATTTTATACGATTATTTGGGAGGGAGGGGTGCATACCAAAATTATGGCTTTGATACCATCTCTATCAATGGATACACCAGTGGTATTGTCCTTGCAAATCTTAAGCAGAATATCTACAAAATTCTCTTTAATTTCATCCTTTCCGCTTGAATTTTCCATATCCCAGTGTTCTTGAATCACTCCTTCAAGAAACTCATCAAGTTCTTTAGCAACAAAATCTACTCTGGCATCGAAACCATTAAGACGATTAATCCACGCCAGCCATGGAATGAATTCCCCAACACTGAGAGTCCCCAGAAGTCCCAAATATTCAGTAATCAGCTGCAGAAATTTCTCCCCAGTCGCCCCGTCCCTGTATTTCCTACCGAAAGCCGATCTACAAACAACGTCGTTTGTGATTGCCGTAAACAAATAACTCATATTCAATGGCGATGAAGAAAGACACGATTCCTTAATTTTTTCCATCATCAAGATCGTTTCTTCTTCCCTTATAGCATGGAATGATTGTACCTGTTATGGACAGAAATGCACCGTTAGAAAATCTTGTCAAGTCACTCCATGCAATTCTAAACTCTTTTAAGTACTTTCAGTTTTTTATGTACTGTTGAGCATCTTTTGGCCTAGAATAACGTCGTTTTTGCTTATTTCCGGCAGTATCAAGAGTGTTATTGCCGAAATAAACAGCTTCTTGTACAAAAGGAGCAAGGGTCAATCATGCTTTAAGAGGGGGCATGGGAAATAGTGACAGTACCATTTTGTTACTTAGAAGCTGGAGTACAAATATGCTTTTCAATTGCCTCCAGTATTCCCCATATGGGGCAACTGACAAATCCTTCATGTCGTAAAGAAGCCGCCTGGAAACGCTAGAGTCAGGCCTGTCAGCGAAAATGACGTCATGGGCTTTCATGATTTCCCTGGCGGTTTCCGCCGATGAAACGATAAGCGCCGGAACATTTCCAAAGTGGAGAAGCATTAAAGGGCCGTATTTTTTGGACATGGAGTGAAGGGAATGGTGTGGGAGCGTGCCGATTTGGTGGAGATTTCCGATAATTGGGAGTTTCGGCGGCGATGGCGGCAAATTTTTGCTGTATGTAGGGGCCGTCACCGGTTTGACGAATTGCCATACAAGCAATATAGCGACAAAAGTGAATATGAATGGATTTTGTAAAAGAAATTCAGCCATTTGGTGCTTAAAACTCAACATGCTTTCTGATTGTCTGTATTCTGTATCCTGTCCCGCCCTTGTTATACACTCTAATTTACAATATCTTAACTTATTTAATATTTTTAATAATTTTCGAACAACATATTTATTAACTTTTATCAAAATTTATTAAATATCTTATTTTGATTCACCAAACGGAGGCTTAATATGCCTTTCAAACCTATTTTATTTAAGGCCTGTTTGATGTAATTTTTTTAAAAAAAAATTATGAATTCATATGTAAAATTATTTTATTGCGAGAATGTATTGTTAAAATGATTATTAATTATAATAGGAGATTACTTTTAACTTATTCTATTGGGATCAAGTCCCACTTTAAAATATCCACGTGTATTTAAGAAAAATTTGTGGTAATAACCTAACATTCGATGTGTATGTTAAATGGTAAAATATGAATAGATAGATTTTTGGGCTAACAGTTTAATTGCGCTCAGGCTTGACTTGTAAATATCGAAGGATAGATCTATTTGTACAACAACAACATTGTAGTTGTCAAAAAGGCGTTGGTGTGAAAGATGAATTATTTTTAAAATTGTGTAATGTGTGTCATGTTGTCAAAATCATTGTACACTCAGCATGATTGAACATCGAATTGGTGAATAGCAAGAGAAATTAATTTATCTAAAAAAAGTAAGACCACTTATTTTTAATCACATATTTTTGTTAGGTTCCATTTTTTCTACGAAAATTTTTTAATTAGAAATTTCTCTTACAAAAGGAAGAAAAATTATATAATTAATATTTATGGTCTTGTTTGATTCACATTATTTCAAAAAAAAAAAAAACATTTTTCAATAGTTATTTGACATCATTTTAACTACATATTTTTCAATAAAAAATTATTACACGTAATTTCAAAATTTTTTCTTATTTTTTAATCACATATTTTTCATCAATACACTATTTTAAAAATACATCCTTATGGAAATAATGTGACTTAAACAAAGTCTATATATCTTACAAAATTATCAAACTTTGTAAAACTAACTATTTAGGATTTCAAGTTAGTCCATGTTTGGTTTTGTATCACATTTTTAATAGATTTTGATAAGGTTTGGACTTGTTAAAATTAATTGTTGATTTTTATTAATTTTTTAAAAGTAAATTAAACATGGACTTATCATAGAAATATAAGTTCATTTATTTAAATTTTATCATCCACGCAACCTTCTCTATTATCATCATCATCAAAGATTTGCAAAATTTTTATAACCAGAAAATGATATTATATATATATATATATTTATTTATTTATTTATTTATAAACAAGAAAGCAGCTATCACTTCTTAAAAGTCCATTATCAATTAATATTTTTCTAATTTAACCAAACAATTAATCCATCCAGAATCATTGACTAGTCCATGCTTGATTGCGTTTGATTAATATTAATATTAATATTTTTTATTTTTATCGTTATCAGATAAGTCGAAATTGTGGTTTAAAATCCAACCATCCCTCCGCCTCCCCCTAGTTCATGCTACTTGTACAAAATTGCTTGATAAAATTAAGCCCTTGTTTGAACCATATTATTTTTTTTAGAATGCATTTTTGAATGGTGTATTGATGAAAAATGTGTGGTTAAAAAATAAAGAAAAATTTTAAATTTACATGTAATATTATTTTATGAAAAATGTGTGATTAAAATAATGTTAAATAACTGCTTAAGAATGTATTTTTTTTTAAAAAAATGTGGCTTAAACATGGCCTTAACAAAACAACATCTACACTAATTATTTCTAAAATACTTTTTAAAATTATTTGAAATCAAATGCCAAAATTCTCAATACTTATTTTATCAACCATTTTGGTCAACTTATTTTGTACAACTAGATTAATTGCTCCAATTTAGATAGTGTTGTTAATAAAAATTAAGAAAAATTGCAGCAGAGATCCCAAATCTTTAAAATATTAGCAGACTTTTCACAAACTTCTAATTTATTGCAACCGTCATCCCAAATTTTTAGAAACATTGCGGCGAAAGCCCTTTAGGACGATTTTCATCCAAATGTTAGTTGATTAAGAAAGTAGGCTTTGACTATATTTTTAATATTTTTGAAAGGGTAAAATAAGAACTTTCCATTTATTATATTAAAATAAGTTAAAAATTAAATTAAAAAAATAAGAAATAAGAAAAAAAAACCATCGTCTTCTTCCAGACTTCCTCTCATCCTCACCCTTACCCCCATCTCAAACAAAAAATCAGTTACCGACCACCATTGCCGCCACCTCCAATTCCATTAGTCATGTAAAGTTGCATTCATGATAAAAGAACTCCATTAAACCCATAGAACCAAAACTCCCTGTATTTCTGCAAATGGCTAGCAACATTCTCTCTTGTGAGTCCATCCACACTCATCAGCTGCATTATAGTCTTGGGCACAACATTCTTGATTCCCAAATGAGCCACAGCATCCACGAATCTCTTATGCAGCTAAGGAGTTCAAACAAGTCGTGGTCGCTTTAGGGTCCAAGCCAACTCGTCCGACCCCACACCACATCCCGCACCGGCTACTCCACCATCACCACCCCTCCTGACCCAACTAACTCAACCGAGTCGAATTCCACGGAAGAGTTAGGTTGAGAAGAGTGCACGGTGGTCTGTGGCGGCAACGGAGTGCTCTGATGGTTGTGATTTGGTGGTGGGTTTCAAATATCAAAAGCTTGTGCTAGATCAGGGGTTATTAGGGTTTGTGATAAAGGCATCAACTATTCTAGTGATGGCAATTCGTCTTCCCATTTTGCAAACCAATTCGAATCTTCCTCCCTCATCTTCCACTCAAAATTTTCTTGAAATAGGTAATTTATTGAGAATCAAACACTATATGAGTTGATTTTTTTTTTTCAAGATTTTGCCAAGAAACATACAAAAATTCAAAGTGGGAAGCAAAACCATAAATTTGAATGAATTCGCAAAGAATTTTTTCAAGAAAAATTTGTTCTTTCTCCCTCTATCAAAAAATACGATGGCGGTAGCGGCAGTAGTAGTGATGGTGGTCGGTAACTGATTTTGGATTTGACGTGGAGGTGGGGGTGGGTGGGGTGAAAGGAAGAAGACGATGTTTTTTTTCTTATTTTTTTAATTTAATTTCTAACTTATTTTAATGTAATAAATGAAAAGTTACTATTTTACTCTTTCAAAAATATTAAGAATATGGTCAAAATCAAATTTTTTAGTCAACTAACAGACATTTGGATAAAACCGTCCAAAAGGACTTTCGTCACAATGCTTCGAAAGGTTTGGGGTGATGGTTGCAATAAATTAAAAGTTTGAGAAAAATCTGCTAATATTTTAAAGTTTGGGGCCTTTACTGCAATTTTCCCTAAATGTTAAATCAAGAACTTGGGGCGGGGGGCGGGGGGTCGCCGGGTCGGAAAACAAATAGAAGAGACATGGGAGTTGGGACCTGACATACAAATTTAAGGGAAAAAAGACAAATCTTGAGTTCATTATTCCAATTTGTTGCCAACTTTTCAATTTTTAAACAGTAAATTAATTGTTAAAAAATGCAAGTGGACAAAACTGTGTCAGGCAGTGTAACGTTGAAATACAAAAGGTCAAAAACATCCTCATTTTTCGTAACAAATTTCCAAAAATAAACATGTTATTCCATAACTTTTAAATAACCCCACCATTTATTTGAAGGGTGAACTGGGAAATCAGATTTGGGCACCTGCCACAACTCTCCAACAGTTAACCATGGATGGTTTTGTTCAATTTAATTATAGTCATGCTAAGAATCAAGAATCACTACATAATAAATTAATAAAACGAATTCATACCTGCGGAAGTCATTGTTGATATGAATTATACTTATAATAGCAGCCAAAATCTTCCCCTCCTTACTCCTCACAAAGTAATAGCTATCAATGGGGCAAGCTAATGAAAACATATGGAGAGAAGAGGGGACCTAGCCTTTATATATATAGGAAATAATTGAGCCGTCCCATTACGACTAGAATTCTAATTAGGGTTTATTTCCGGCCCACATACTTTAAATTATCACATCAAATTAATTACAACCTGTAAGGTGTAAAAGGCCCAATTGATCACTTAATAAATTTGGCCCAAACACAAATATCATTATGAGCCATATATCTAACCCGTAAAATTTTGCAATCGAATGTGAAGCCCACATATGGAATTATTAATTATTCCAACATTCTCCCACTTGGGCAAACATTTGATTGCCATATCAAAATTTTAACACCTGGGTTAGACTACATAGGCGGCCACAAAAGTATAACTCCAATGATGACACCTTACGTAACATGATCCGGTCCAACGAGAATATTAACACCGAACATGGAAGTCATTACACCAATTTAAGAGATGTAAGACCATTCCAAAGCTACAAATGTCAACATCCTTATCGACATGGATCCCCATCCTCCAACCAATGTGGTAGTATGTAGTATGAACTTAGCACCAAATGTGATCAAAAAATTATGCTAACTCATATCGGTTCTCATAATGCTTCGAATCAAAATGAAGCCACATGTCTCTAAAAGAGACTCATCTTATGTCTTTATACGTCATATTTCAAGATGTCAATAATATAAAAGACATAAGTCAAATGCATGCTTAAAAATAGTTCATGGATAGGGGAAAAATTATTTTTATTATCAGAAGGGACTGTACCCGAAAACATATGGGTTGCCTTCGTACCCCGCAAGGGATCAAGCCCAAACGTAGTTCTTTACATAAATAACTCCCACTAACCAAAAATATCAAATGTTTCCACAATACTCATATTAGTAACATGTGTCTTAAAGGAGTGAGTCCCTTAGTCAAGGGATCTGCAACCATCGCCTCTGTATTGATATGCTCTATTTTCGTCTGCCCTTCTTTGACTCTGTCTCTAACAACCAAGTATTTGATGTCAATGTGTTTTGATCCACCAGAACTTTTATTATTCTTTGAAAAAAATACTGCTGCACTGTTATCACAGTAGATGGTGATCGGTCTTGAGATGGAATCAACAACTTTCAAGCCAG